GTTTGTGTCTATAATCATTCTCACATGAACACAGCTGTTGCCTGGATGTATTGATGAATGGCAGGCTGTGATGGCTGAATGGTAAAATTCAGATGAATGTTTGTGTAAACTCCTACAGGCAATTCAGTGAGCATGTGTGGGCAGCAGTTTTGTAGGCGACTGTTCATCAGTCCCACATTGTTCCATTGGCTAGTCTAGCAAATATTCATTCTTCATGTTTGTCGCCGGGGCATTTTCACTGGACTGATGAGAGAGTTCAGAGGGTATTAAGCTTGCACAAAGGTTTTCATGGACATGCCCGTTGGTGTCAACAACATTTACTTAAGTCTTTTTTTTAACTCTCAAATACCCAAGAAGCTAAAGTGAAATGAAAGATTTTGATTGTGTTGGTATTACTACGCTGTATCTCTAATCTCCAATTTCTTTGTTGTATTGTTATAGGATCAGTGGGTGCGCATCGTGAAGGTTGTTCATATTTTGACACTATTAAGTTTGTAGAATAAACATGTTAAAAAGATAAGTTGAGACTTTGCCAAGTGGTTAGTCTTTCTAATAAATATAAATGCACATATCATATATGTCACATGAGCCTACCATGGTATCAAAATCTATTGCAAGTCTTTTTACTGAATGAAATTACGATGAAGGCTGCCCCCCGATCCCTCTAGGAATCTGTGGTAGAGCACATGGATGGATGGATGAATTGAAATTGAATCACTGTACTCTTTTAAACTGTGGAAGAAAACATATTTTTTGCTTTGAATATGCTGCAATATAAGATTATGAGACCTTTCAACACTTTGCTAGTTTTGATGCTACGTCAATCTTTTTCATTAGTAGGCCTACCCCCTCCCCATGAACTATGGCCATGGCTGAATTGGATCCAGTACTAATGGTCAGTATTAGTATTCTTCATTTCAGCCACAGTCAAGAAAGCTATAGAGGTCCCGGATGGAAACTCCCCTAGTTCAGCGGAGCCTGAAATTGACTTGAATGGAGTGGGAAGTGGTGCTAGGTCACCTGAATGGGTCTCAAGGCAAGGCACATTAGTCTTGCTTTCATTGTCACACCCCAATATGCTAAATCCCATCTGTGGCAGGCAAAGGAATACTTTGGAGTCACCGTGACATTAAGAAAAACTGAGGCAGAAGCTCCATCACATAAAGGCATGAAGACATGTAAACTGAGTCAACCTATCACATTCCGACATTTGCAAGTTGAATGACTGTACAGTCAAGTTATAAGATGTAACATCTGTATATGTTATATGCACATATATATACATATATATACACACATATATATATAAAAAGAAACAATTCCTACCAACAAAATTCAGTTGAGATTTTTATTAGTTGAGATTTTAATAGCATTATTGATCCATCAGTAATGCAAAAATATTGATTTTGGTTACTTTAGCAACACTGACAAAAAAGAAAATGTAATTAATTCACTCATGTGTATTCACATACTATAATACAGAATTTTGTCTCACCCTCATCTTTTCGTATTGTAGCTTGTGACAGTTACATATAAGAAAACTCTCAGTTGGGAATAAATTAAGCCTGGTAGCTGTGTGGTCCTTAGCATTTGCTAGGTCATGTGTGCTATATTGATTTTGTGTATTGCAGGGACTGAAAGCCTGCTGTGTTTGTATGTTAGGGTGACAATGACATATTGCATCATACTAATGCTCGTCCTCACCATGTGAACATTTTCATGTTGAATAAGTTATCCAATTAAAAAAAGCTATTCATGAGGACTCATGCATGACAATTTATAATCTTAATCCATTGATTAGAAGTTATCCAAACAGATTTATCTGGATAGGTCAATATAGAGAAATCTCTCTTTTTTTCCAGGTTACAGTCAGTGGGTGTTTTGTTTTTTCATTTGAATTTTCTAGGTACAGTAGGGTGACACACTATACCAAACAAATGTATGCATGTTAAAAAGTTTTAACTTTGATAACAGTTTTTGTTAAAATTCTAAAATGTGTTACACTTCCTTAAACCTCTTTTTGAGATATACTGTATAGGGGGGAAAGATAGATCAATAAGGGAAGGAAGCAGTTACAAGAGGATGAAGAAAATAGTTGGAAAAAACATTGAACAAAGAAGAGCAAAGTGGCTGAAGGATGAAGATGGACACTTAAACGGGACACCTGTAACTGGCAACGAAAGTTTTGTTTGGAACATTGCAGCAGATAAAATGTAGATCTTGCTGAGTCGCTGCCATTGATTAGGACCTTTGGGAGAATGAAGGCCATATTAATTCAGCACTGTATGTGTGTATGTAGGCGTCCGAGTGAAGTTGTGTGTGTCTTTTGCTTCAGCATCCCATTATATAGGTACCTTTCAAGATTACCTCAGCACTTTTTACAAGCACTGCAGCTATAAAAGGGGGCTCATAATTTTGCTCTAAACCATTTTTTTATTCTGTAATGATGCAGTGGATATATGTTTAATGTAGAAAGAGTGTAAATTATTTTTTTCCCTTTATACTGTTATTTTTTCAATTATTTACCCGGTAGTTTTCTTTTTCGGATTTACATCTGTCATCTTCATTCTACATTCACAGCAGTGCCAAAGGCTTTGTGAGCTTTAATTTTCTACAAATCATCTACTAATCCCTTTCCGTTAATGCTGTCTATTGGTCCTAAATTAGTTCAAACTGAACACTGTGTGAGTTTACCCATGGAATGCTTGAAAGGGGAAAAAACTGAAGATATGTAAGATGGAATTGAAATCAGCTAATGTGGGCTTAGCCTGATGCCTTACACGTCTTAAACTAATGTTGCATGTTTTTTTAAGTCTCAAAGGTAGACTAAGCATATAAGAGGAAAACCTTTCAAAGCAGCAAAAGTATTGGAACCTTCCGTTCAATGTCTTGTTAGATCTGTTTTGGTAGTAATATCTGGAACTTAACACAGCAAATTTTGTACTTATACATCGATTCAAGGAAACCTAAAGCAAATGCACAAAGATTGGTCAAAGGTTGTACAATATATATATTTTGTTTTTCTTATTCTCTACTGGATAGGGTTCCCGAGGTGCCTCTGATTACATTTCTGCATGGTCACATTCACAACATGAATGTGGAGTTGCGGTCGATAGAGTCCTTGACTTTAGCGTGATAGATTACTGGTTCAAATCTTCTCCTTAACAACCTCAGTTGTTGTACAACCACAACCCACAGACAACTGACTTTCTATTTTGCAAAATTTTGCACTGATCATGATTGAAACTTAAAAGTATGTGATTAGGATGACAATTTATGTTCAAAACTACATTTGCATGATAAAAATGCTACATTTTCGTAAAATGTCATGTTGCAATTCTAAAACCTTTAATGTGAAGCTACTTAGGATTGAACAAACTTCACATTTGACCGTTTTTGGTGAGACTTGACAAGCTGGTAAATGTTAATCCGTACTGTACATTATCTTGAATGGATTCTGTCCCATTACTCCATACAAGTACAAAGGATATTTACTATGGATAATGTGGGTTTTGTCAGAATGTTTCGGTAGACTGAGCTGCATCCTTATTATCCTTAGTCTAGCTGCATATTCAGTCACAAATGCTGTGACACATGACTTTGGATTTTTTTTTTTTTACACATTTTGGTGTAATCCAAAGATGGAAGGCCATACTAGCACAGATGCAGTGAAACAGACACCGACTATGGCCACCATCATGTTTCACAAATTAAGTAAATATTGCTGAAATGTAGTGTTGTTCCTTTCGTTAATTCGCATAACAGCTATTTAAAACCATAAATATTTTTTTTTTAGCAAAAAAGAAGTAATCTTGTTTGGAGCTTGAGTTTTTCCTTGTGGCCCTACCATGCACAATATTGTCACTCATCATTGTCCTGATTTTGGACTGTTAAAATTTTGCACATATAATGTAGAGGAATATAAATATACAGTTTGCTATTGTTTTTATTTCTCTTTCCAACACACGTCTACTTCAGGAGCCAGACGATAGACTAAAAGCTTAGACAAACAGACGCTTGTGCATAATTCCACCTTCACGGTATGTCACCCACCTACTCAGGGCGAGAAAGATGCTCCCACAATTTAAATCTTAAGAAAAAGAATTGGGAATCGTCATATTTCGTTCCCCTCGTCAAAATCTAGCTGTTTCTCCTAATTTTTTCCCCCCATACATTTAGTCGCTCACTATCAAAAAAGCCCAGTGAAATACCAACAATCCTCAGCTGAATGGGAAGACGTTTTCTTTTATCGGTGGACAGGCGGTTAAACATTGGGACTCACAAAGAAGCATTCACTGAGCTCAGTCAATATATTTCACAGCTTTTACCTTCGCTGAATGATAAGCTGCCATTCACCATTGCTCCGAAAGCAGTTCATTTCCAGGCCCAATCTACCATGCATCAGGGTTATCTCCAGGCACCCAGACAGAGAACACCTGCAAGGGACTTTCAATCAGCTTCCCCCATATGTAATTAAATGGAAATAATTGGTTTCATTCCTTTTGTCATCTTTTTATTTCTCATTCGTGTGATACTGTGCTTAAAGCCGCACAGGCGCATGTTAGTCTATCAGTTCCTATTCTTTTATATATTAGCCACTCCAAAGTAATCTTTCTTTTTTCTTTTGTTGCCATCTTCCATCCTTTATATAAAAAAAGTAAGTGGGATCTCATAAATGTGCTCTGTGGCGTGTATTGTGTGTGTTGTAGGTAAGTGTGTTGCTGCCATCATCAGGCTGAAAATTGAAACTGCACTCTAAGAGCTAAGACAAAAAAAAAAAAGAAGCAGAATTTTTATTTTCCCTTGAAAATACCCGAGCTACATTCATATTCATTTCAAAACGTAGATGGTTCTCCGGTTCTCAAAATCCCAAGCCTTCCCTTGTCCCTCTTCCCTTTCGTATTTTGTTTTCTTCCCTCTCCTTCATTCTCCTAACAGGCTAATTTTGCCCTTTCACGGAACCTCTTGCTGAAGAACAACCTTGCTGTCTTGCCCTCAGCCTAAACCAACTCTCCTTATTCCTCTTTAAGCTCAAGCAAAGTGAAGCCAACGCTGACACCAAAGAGAAACTCCCTTTACGACTCAGGATCTTTGAAAAATTCCCAAACAGACCTCAGATGGTGAAGATTTCCAAGCTTCCGTCTGATTTCACTGTGCCCAGGATCAGGTATGCAAATGAATGTTGACTCTTTGTGCAAATATTTTTGTACATTCCGATTATTCCAACTGCCCTCTCGCTGAAAATCCTGTTGTTAAAGGATTTTTTCGGACAAAAATTAAGTTTTTTTGATTGTAAACACCTGCTAACAAACTATTAGAGAACCACCTGCCAACAAATATAAGATGTGCAGAATTTAGCTGGGTTAGAACTTCAAGGTGGCTTGTCGCTGAACTCCACGAAAATGGTGATTTGAGATGAAAATGCTCATTTTTACGATTGCTTTTTAGACATTATCTGCACCCCTTTCGGTTGAAAAGAATGAAAATTAGATTGAAACGCTGCTTTATCTGCTCTTTGCAGACAGAAAATAATAATAGTAATTGGCACTTTGGCCCATTTGTTGTGTGGCTCTTAGCAGGAGAGCTGAATGATATCCAACATAACAGACTTCATAATCAGCATTATTATTTAGTCGCTGATTAGAGCACAGCTGGGCCTTTTGCTCGGCAGAAATCCCCGTCTGCAGCACATCTGCTTTATTAACAGCCCGCACCAGCACGTTTTGTTACCGAACTTGTTCCCGTGGAGTTTAGTGTCACAATGAATAAATCTGTGACTTGTGGTTCCACCTTTGTATGTCTTTTTGTCTATCTAGTTCGGCACATTTGTGTGCACCTGTGCGTTTGCTCTGTGTTCTAGGGAGAGTTTTATGAAGCAGTTCATTGATCGTCAGCAGCAGGATACCAGCTGTTTGTTCAGGCGTCTCCCCTCTGCCTCTTCGTCGTCCTGTGACCATTCCAAACGCTCAGCCATCGAAGACAACAAGTATATTGACCAAAAAGTACGATCAGCGACTGTTTTTTCCTGCTTACTTGCTTTAACACACACACACACACATGCTCACATCCGCTCACAGAAACTGGAAAGGAAACAGAGTCCTGTGTCTGTCTGTAAACATAGGGAAGCAATTTTCTGGAGCAAACCGCACAAAAGACATACAGATGTGTGCACGGTGTGCTTCCAGATGGTGCACAACAATTGACAAAGAAACAACTAAAGCATTCTTTTTGCTCTGTCTCAGTTGCGCAGGTCAATATTCAGCATTCGAGCCCGAAACCTCCTGGAAAAGGAAAATACGATCAATAAAATTCTACGGTAAGAAACATCCCAACCTTCTCTGCAACAGTGTCTTCTGGTGATTCAGAGCTTTAAAATACAATATTTTGGGTATGACAGCTGTACTTAACATAGAGCAATTGCATGTTTAATATTTTCTTGTCCACATTTGGTATTTTTCCCTGTTATTTTTGTGACAAATTTAAAAGACACAGGTTCTGAAGTTGATTCCAATTTCTGAATTAGCTTTTTTTTTTATTCAGTGGTGCTACCACTGTGCTACTGCTTCAGGATGCAAATGACGATCATCACAGGGATATAAAAACAACACGGCCCAATCAGAAAAATGGATAAAAGACGGACAGCAAGTTTAGAATAATCAGAGTAGATACAATCAAATTAAATTCAGTTATAACCCCAATTTCTAGGATGACATTACATTAATTACATTAGCCTTGATGCCATGTGAACACCAAACTACTCACCTTACTCAAAGAGCAGCAAGTTGACCTGACCTCAGATTTAATGTACGTGCTATTCACTCACAGTTGACAAACTTTAAGGAAGGAAAATGACAGAACAACGTGATAATTGAAGGTGACTGCAGATGCAGTAACTGTGTCTGTCATGAGTGCTGGGCTTAAGCCAAAATAACTTCCAAGTAATTGTTACATTTCTAATCATGTATGCTTTCTAATTAGTTTTAAACCTGCAAGCAACTATGCAAAAGGTGACTGCCATTTCTAAACGAGCGCCAATGGAACATTTAGGTGAAACTTCTCATTTTAAAATACAAAATTGACACTATGAGATTAGTGCTGCATAGACGTTGCTCTCTCTGTCAATCACACACACACACACACTTCAGACACATTTACTGTCACAATGAAGTTAATGGCTAATTGGTCGTTCTGCATGGTAGATATGGCAGTAAGTGCATATTAGCTCACCGACACCATGTCCAATCTGCGCCCCTCTTCATAATTTTCTCCGTCTGACAACAGAGCAGTAGTCGTAATGTATTCTGTCTGGCCTGCCATCCTCCTAAAAAGTGCACAATTAGGCTCAAAAGCCAACAGAGGCAAGCACACAGAGAGAAAAACACTCCAGCGAAGACGGACATCCAAACATACTTATTACCAAGAAACAGGTAATCCCTCAAAGTCAACACAAACTATTAAAGTGCACAAGCTGATGGTGCCCACTAAATCACGAGTGACGTGACTTTACTGCTTTACAAAATCAAGAATCCACAAACTCTCATAGACACACACGCAGGCACACACTGACCGGCTGATTGAGGGCTTTTTTTAGCATGACAAACTGGGAAAATAATCAGGCTGTATGAGAGGCCAACAACAGCTTGTTTGGCAGGATGATGGAGCAGATCTAGAAGGTCAAGATGGTGTCATGCGTTTTTGTTTTTTTTCCAACTTCGGGACCAGAATGAATAACATTGTCATGTTGTTTCCAGGGCTTGTACCAGACAGCGAATGCTAAGTGGATCTTTTGAAGGCCAGCCGACCAAAGAGCGCTCCATACTTAGCGTGCAGCACCACATACGGCAGGAGCGCAGGTTTGACACAAATAAGCACAAACACACACCGTCAACGTGTATAGCTGTGCTTTCAGGTGCTGTATCATGTGAGACATGGCTATTCCTTCAACTCTGCTTGCTCTATCTACAGATCTTTGCGACATGGCTCCACCAGTCAGAGGATCAGCCGAGGGAAGTCCCTGGAAACACTCACCCAGGACGTAAGATCAAAAAAACATTAAGATCTTGGTTCTTGCATGTACCCAGATTACCCTTGAAAGATCTGTAAAACGTTTGCAAAAAGTCCATTCTATATATTTTAATGTATTTCCTGGCAGCATTCCAGCACAGTTCGCTACCGCAATGCGCAGAGAGAGGACAGCGAGATAAAAATGATTCAAGAAAAGAAAGAACAAGCTGAAATGAAAAGGTGCTGGTTCAAAGATTTACTTCATTTCAACCCCTCGATGTTTTGTCCTGGCTTATTGACACGGAGCTGTCATGGCTCACTGTCTTGGGATTTTTCAGGAAAGTTCAGGAGGAGGAGCTCAGAGAAAACCATCCTTACTTTGATAAGCCGCTTTTCATCGTGGGCCGCGAGCACCGTTTCAGGAACTTCTGCAGAGTGATCGTCCGTGCTCGCTTCAATGCGTAAGATCGGTTAAAGTTACCTTTATGGCCTTCGTTAATGCCTCGTGCCAAGCCATTACCATCAACCTTGCCTAATCGCTGAAAGTGAAATAAAAAAAAAAGATTTGTTCTGATTTTATTTCATATTAATTCTGATCCAGATCAAAGACCGACCCAATTACAGGAGCAGTGAAGAACACCAAATACCACCAGCTGTAGTAAGTGTAATGCATAATTAATTCCTTCACTCTCTAATACATAAAATATAATCTCAGTCATTCTGGAGCCTTTCACCTGCTGACTGTTCTTCCCACAACTGTGGGGAAATTGCTGTGAAAAATTCCCAGTGGAGAGAAATGACTAAACTAATGAGCTCCGTGTTACTTAATCTTGTTTTTTTGTGGGTGTATTTGTTTTCCTGGCTTGCAAACTTGTCTGAGCTTTATTTCTGTTTTATTATGCTTTATAAAGACACGTGACTATGTTTACTAGTTATCAGAATGCAAAGCATGACTCAACACCAAACAACTGTTGACACATGTCTGAGACTGAACTAACAAATGCTAATATGCAAACTGAAGGTAATATCCTCCATTTGATTTTCTTGAATGTGAACATAGGTTACCAGCACATCTGCAGATAGAAGTCAGGACTTTAAAAATGACCTTTTGGTCCATTAATGCAGAGGGTGTGATGGGCAAAAACATCGACATCCGTAATACTGTGTTTTAGATGCCAGCCTTAGATCAATATCTGCTTCCACTCAAAAGATATTTATTCAGGCAATGGTTTGCTCATTTGGGCAAGGCAATGCCAAAACAGGAAAGGTGACTTTAAGTTTTATGAATAGAATTTTTTCTATTTCGTAGATTATGCTGCGGGTAGAAAAATGCGGCATTTGAGCAGAGCAGAGTTTAAATGTTTTTGTTCTTCAGTCCCAGTTTCTGCCATGTACAGTTGTCTAACTAAAAAACGCAGATATACACATTGTTGTAAAAATGAAAGTTTTGAAAATATTTCTGCCTAGTTTGCTGCTTTATCTTGATATGTTTGTCTGGTTTAGAGAGGCTAGCAATGTTTATTAATATGTTTCCAAGTCTAGTTTTGTTGGGCTTTTGCAATAATTACCAACTCCACATCTCAGCCTAGTAGGGGTGGGACGGTTCACAAAATCCACGGTTCGGTTCGTTTCACGGTTTCGTGGTCACGGTTTTCGGTTCGGTTCGGTATATGGTGATTGTTAGGAAAATCTAGTATGTCTTGTATAGTCAGGTTAAAACTAAGAATGGGGATCGTTAATATTTATTCATATCGATACTTTTATCGATACTCCTTATCGATCCGAGTCTTTATCGATACCACTATCGATAATTTTCTGTTATTTGGTGGAAAGACGATGCAACAATATTTAACAAATAAATAATTGTATTTTAAATTAAATGTAATTTTTAATAAATGTTGGCATCAGTAGTTTAATTATATATTCTAAAAATAATTAGAGCAATATACAACTGTATTACTCATGTTTCTCGCCAAAAACTCAATTTCCCTTTTCTTTACACTTGAACGCATCATGATAACCTAATTGTCGTTTTACTGAGCCAATCTGAACACATCATCACGCAGCACGTCTGAAACTTTATTTACTTTTCAAGCTAACTAGCTTGTATGCTGCCGATTACAACACAGATTTCACAATTACTATTGTAATAAAAAAAACGACCAGACTCGATAGTGGTATCGATAAGCCCAAACGTTATTGATTTTGGGGTTTTGAAAAAAGTGGAACCGGGTCCTTGATAGAACCGGGTTTCGATCCCCATCCCTAGTAAAAACTGAAAGAAAAAAGCAGTCTGACATTTGATCCATTATTGTGACAGTCTTAGGTTAAAAGTAGGTGAGATTATGGCATTGCAAAAGAGGAAACAGTGCTAATTCCAACATGTGCTTCCCTCTAAATGCAAACTGGTCCATACAGCAGACCTAGAAACTGCTGTTGGCGCGTCAGATTTTTATCGGCTCCGCTGCTTCTTCTTCTTCTTGTTTACTACTGGTGGTTGGCTTTGGGTGCAGTAGCGCCCCCTTCTGCTCTGGAGTGAACACGCTTCCCTCTGAGAAAAAGGAGCAGTGCATGAACCGTGCGGTACACACGCGAACCGAACCGAAACAGTCGAACCGAACGGTTCAGACGGTTTTCAGAAACCGTCCCATCCCTACAGCCTAGCTGTTACAATCTGATCATAACACATTAAAGAGCATTTCAAAGTTGGCCCTTCTTACCAAGTATTTCCTCAGAATTGGGATTTCAAGATCAAAATGAGAAAAATGTCTTTTTAATGTGTGAAAAAACACAAACATGGAAATTCAAACTTTTTATCTACTTTCTATTCTTTTTGTTGGATTCTGAAATTTGAAGGTATTCGATTTGCTATCCACTACAAAATGAATGTGAAATCACAGAAATAAAACCCGATCGGCTGAATTTTCTGCCGTGGTTCTGATCATTAGCACATATTTAAATGCAATCTTTGAACTATTTCTATCTTTACAGTTGTATTTTTTCCATTTATGCTCTGAATTATCTCCTAAATGCCGGCTAATATGTTTTTTGTTACATGTGCGTTCACAGTGACCTTCTGGGCTTAGTCACCTACCTGGACTGGGTCATGATTGTGGTCACTATTTGCTCGTGCATTTCCATGATGTTTGAATCGCCCTTCACCAGAGTTATGTACGTCCCCACACTGCAGGTAAAAGGCTCCAAACCAATGGATTGACAACCACATGAACAGTTGAGCTCATTCATGATTTGGCAGACTCTGTTCTAAACCATTACGTCTGTTTCAGATTGGGGAGTATGTTTTTGTGATTTTCATGAGCATCGAGCTCAACCTGAAGATTATGGCCGATGGTCTGTTTTTCACTCCCACGGCTGTTATCAGAGACTTTGGAGGAGTCATGGACATCTTTATTTATCTTGTAAGAAGCAAATACATGTGAGACATAACGGGACCTGTCAGATAGTGTCTGTCTCATTCAGTTTGTAATTCGTTGTTAAAGGATGCCAAAATACCCGCATATAAATGTGCTGCCTCAGTGACTTTGTTGTATTCTGCCTTGTTATACTGGACTAAATGCAGCTTTAAATGACACGTTGTCATGAACAAGACAACTCCCATTAAAATGTTCAGTCATGGGCAGGTTCAAATCTTGAAATAAGGTTTTATGTTTGTTGCAGATAGTTCATTTTTTAGATTGTTGGATGACTGAAGTGTTATAATCATAAAGAACTTTATCCAGGATAATAGACACAGTTGTAATTTCCCATATACTCATATACAATCCAACTCCAAATTATTTATGTTAAGTATGCAACAATCTTGTCATGGCTGAAGAAAAACTAAACAGTGTGAAATTTTCATAGACAGAAAAGAGAATATTTGTTTATTTGGTTCTAATAATGTACCCACAGTTACAAAGAAGATGTGTAATGGAGATTTGTTGATAAAAAGGTTTCTCGATACAGTGTCCATGTTATTGGCAATATTTGCAAATGTGTCATTCAGTAGCTTTTGTTTTACATACAATTCTTTAGAAGATGACATGTTTGAGATTTTCCAGGTTCCTACCAAAATGTTTAAGATGGCATTTAAAATTCTAGTCTCGTTTCTCAAACCTGCTCTGCTGTATTAATTCATTGCAGGTGAGCCTGATCTTTCTCTGCTGGTTGCCTCCTGACGTCCCCCCTGAGTCTGGAGCTCAGCTGCTAATGATGCTGCGCTGCCTGCGTCCCCTCAGGATCTTTAAGCTTGTACCACAGATGAGGAAGGTGGTGCGGGAGGTCCTCAAAGGATTTAAGGAGATTTTCCTGGTTTGTAGTCTATCAAAACTACCACTATCTTCTGTATAGACTTGTTCTGAGGCATTTTTCAAGAGCATCTCATGAATAAAATAAATAAATTTGGGACTCCCCCTGAAAAGCACTTTGATCATTTACATATAAATATGCATAAATTCAACTATTAAACGGTATTGTTTCATAATCCTCATATTATAATATTAGGGGGTCCATAAATCACATCTTTACACACCTGCCTGCTATCTCACTCTCCACACTCTGACTCTTGGATTATTTTGTACCTTCAGCCTTAAATTCTTAATTGATTCTCCCGCAGGTTTCCATTTTGCTCCTTACACTAATGCTGGTGTTTGCAAGCTTTGGAGTTCAACTGTTTGCCGGAAAGCTCGCCAAGTGCAACGACCCCAGTATCCTAAATCGGGTACTGCACGAAACATAATCTCCTTATAAAACCACCTCATCTCTTACTGCACCCTTTCCAAAGAACCACAGGCAGGAAAAGTAGAAGGAGGCTTCCCTAGTTAAATCTATAATCCGCCTCTTCTATTTATCCTAATCTCTAAAAGCAGGCAGCAGTCTCTTTTTTCACTTTAGGGTTTAGGTAAATCTTTGATGAAAATTTTTTTTTATTTTACTGGTTTAGGTTTTTTTTAAGGTGATAATGATATTTTAAGATAATTTACCAAAATAAATGTTGTTTAACATGTCATCATAGTTTTTACTTTCAGTACAGTTATATATTTATTTTAATACTTTTTGTTTTCCTTAAAAATAAGACACCTTTTTTATTCTATTCAGAAAATCATGGTAATACATTATTTAACCATAAGTTTTGTGATTCTGATGGCAAATGGACGTTTTACTGGTCAACTTTGTGGTCGATTACAGGAGGACTGCCATGGTATATTCCGAATAAATGTCAGCGTTTCCAAGAACCTCAACCTAAGGCTGAAGGCTGGGGAGAAGAAACCTGGATTTTGGGTGCCAAGAGTCTGGTAAGACTAAGTCTATTTATTGTTTTTGTTTTGTTTTGTCAGTGACTTAATGATCCCCTCTCTTTTTTCAGGGCCAACCCACGAAATTTTAACTTTGACAATGTGGGAAATGCTATGTTGGCTCTGTTTGAAGTTCTGTCTCTCAAAGGCTGGGTGGAGGTCCGAGATGTCATCATTCACCGCGTTGGACCGGTATGGATGTAAAGCAGAGTGCCCTCTCTTGTACAACCTCTTACTTTTAACAGAAATAGATTGTAATTCACCTAATTTTAAACATTCATGTGTTTGCAGATCCATGGCATCTACATCCATGTCTTTGTGTTTCTGGGGTGCATGATTGGACTCACCCTGTTTGTGGGAGTTGTCATTGCAAATTTCAACGAGAACAAGGTCTGAGCATACATGTGCAATTTCCTGCCAATAACAAACTTATATGCCACTGAATACGTTGTTCTTTTGCCAAATGGTTGTGTTTAGATTCAGTCAGAAACCGGAAGCACAGGCTAACTGATAGGAATAACCTGCGATGGTCCTGTGACATAATAAATTAATAATGAAACTTAACTTGTTTCATTGCTAGGGTACCGCTCTGCTGACTGTGGACCAGAGACGTTGGGAAGATCTGAAGAGTCGGCTGAAAATAGCCCAACCGCTCCACCTTCCACCCCGTCCAGGTAAAATTGGACATGCGTATTAGCAAATACTTATCAAAAAATGCTGTGTTAAAATAAATTAATACATAGCTAAAGTGTCATATTCAAAATTGCTATGTCTCTCCCCTGTTCCCTGATTGACTGTGCACTGTGCGCACATCTGTGCTTATGCATTGCCGAGTGGCACCTGCAGATTCCTAATCCATATTCATAAATCCTTGTTTTTCATTGAGGATTGTTACCTTGAGGGGTTCCTTGTGACACCCAAATAATGACGAGCAGCAGTAAGGAAAGCTAAATACGAAGGCGGATGTGGATCTCACTAACTCTCACGTCACAGCTTTCAAAATGAAAGGAATCACTGTTATAGTGCTTGTGAACTACAAGCCATATCTGAACTAAATTTACGTTTTTAGGCAACTGATCAAGTTTCCATTGTATCTGCCATTGTGAACCCTGCCACATATCCTCATTAATCATGTTTCAACCTGAAATTTCCGCTGCTGCTCTCCCTTATGTGATTACAGTCATGGGAAGAGTTTAGATTCCTCCGAGGTACTGTGGGAAATTGCCTGTTAGTACAGTAAAGGCTAAGGAAATCAACAGGAAATCAATGGGCTCTGTTTAAATCAGCAGTACAGCTTACCTTAGCAAACTGACTTTCATCCACATCCAGGGGCGTTCCCGCACCACTGGCAACCCGTTAAAGTGCTGAGCTGGCTTTTGATCACATGTTCATGGTCAAAGCACTTGTGAAAGCAGAAGATGACCTCCTGTTGTACCTCAGAAAACAAAGTCTCCCTTATCTTGGAGTCCCACTTTACATCCAGAATGTATGGATGTTTGCCATAAATGTGATCACAAAAAAGATTTTCACAATCATCTTATTCAAGTTCATTTGAAAGTGCTGGGTTGGAGTATATGTTTTAACCTTTCTGTTAAGTGCTTTCATACACAGCATGCTCTGTGGCAGCTCAAAAAAAAGAAAAAAGACCAGACTTGGGCTGAAACAGTACAGGACTGCCATCTTCTGGGCAACACTACTTACTGACAAATATGGCCTATAGACTCACAGGGACTTTAAACAGTCACTTAACTTGATTACATTCATCAAAATTTATTTTAATCTCATTCTTTCATTTACTTGACAGAGAATGGAGGTTTCCGGGCGAAGATGTATGACATTACTCAGCATCCCTTCTTCAAGCGTGGCATTGCTGTGCTGGTGTTGGCACAGTCTGTCCTGTTATCGGTCAAGGTAGAGCCATACACAGCAATGCTTGTTGTTTAATAGTATTTTAGTTTAATCTTGTGTCCTCTTAACCTTTTCAATTGAAGGGTTATTTCATATCAATTTACAGTAAAGAAAAAAGGAAAAAAAAGAATCTCCTCTTTTACAGTGGGACGTAGATGACGTTCAAGTGACATTTCCGCTTGCGACCATGTCAGTGGTCTTCACCTTCATATTTGTACTGGAGGTGAGTCTGCTCACCCATCATCTCTCTTTTACATGGACATTGTTGTTTTTCTGATGTCGAATTTTCTTTCCCTAGGTGACGATGAAGCTTGTAGCCATGTCTCCAGCGGGTTACTGGCAGAGCAGACGAAATCGCTACGACCTGCTGGTCACCTCGCTAGGTGTCATCTGGATCGTGTTGCACTTTTCCCTGCTGGTTAGAACATTTGCATATTGTTTAAGGGCAAAAAAAAGAAGGAAAGGAAATGAGTGAATTACATTTAACCATATACTTATCCCCTGTAGAATGCATATACATACATGATGGGCACATGTGTGATTGTCTTCAGATTCTTCACAATATGCGGGAAACATGTGAGTAAATGTGAAATTAACTCATCCCATATTCGAAAATATCTGAGACATATGTATCAAATGTGGCCCATAATGAGTGTCTATGATCCGTGAAGGTGACGCTGAAGATGCTGCTGCTGACTGTGGTGGTGAGCATGTACAAGAGCTTCTTCATCATCGTGGGCATGTTTCTTCTTCTACTCTGCTATGCATTTGCCGGAGTCGTTCTCTTTGGAACTGTCAAATACGGAGAGAATATAAATCGGTAATTATTGCATTTCCTAATCTTCACAGTGGCACCTATTTCTCTGATTCCAAATGAAGCCTGTTAGCTGCTGATAGAGTATGAGGGTCTGTCTCATTTTAGTTGTCTCTCCCAATCCCAGACATGCCAACTTCTCTACAGCGGGCAAAGCCATCACTGTGCTATTCCGTATTGTTACAGGGGAAGATTGGAATAAAATCATGCATGACTGCATGGTAAGATGGGCCACAAATCCAGCACATACCACCAGACAGTAGATAAAAGAACAGACTATCTATTCAAAAGATTGTGAATGCACTCACATCATTTTGCTGCTCTTCAAAGACAGTAGAATCATATTTTTTTATTTTGTTTTGTGGTGCACACGGAAATGGAAAATAAGTGAATTTCTCTTCTTATGACTCACATTCTTTTTAGTATTGAATTTGCTTGTCACCTCCACCCATGTATTTCTGTATACATGTTTCTCTATTTGTGTAAAAAAAAAAGTTTTGTTCTTTAATGCTTTCCTTGGTTCATCCAAATTTCTCATGTTGTTCTGTTTTTGTTTGTTTCATTATCTGTATCCAGGTTCAGCCCCCATTCTGCACCCCCGATAAACGTCGTTACTGGGAGACAGACTGTGGAAACTATGCAGGAGCCCTTATCTACTTCTGCTCCTTCTATGTCATTATAGCCTACATTATGCTCAACCTACTTGTAGGTCAGGGTTTGTTTTTATACTTAGTTCCTTTAATAAATTTGATTATTTTTATGCTGTTTTTTTAACCAAAATTGTGACGCCAGTAAAGTAATTATAGCCTAGGGTTTTATTAACAGTCCAATAATTGATTTTAAATCAATATGATGCAATTAATGAGATTAGCAATGAAAATAATAGCTTGTAAATCAAATGATTGTATGTGTACAATTAGCTGTACAAAGGGATGAGGAGGTTGAATGACAAGTTAGAAGCAGTCATTGGGCAAGATGTGGGATCCACCCAGAACAGGCCACCAGACAATTGCTGTATATTTTCATAACAGTCTATCATCTTCAAAACTTCCAATTCCCACTATTCTGAAATGCTTCTCCAGCATTGTTATACGCATAACAAGCAACAATGTGTTATTGCAGAGTATTGCATAAGTGCAATAACTTGTGCAGTAACTTGAAAATATATCTTTATACAGACAGTGTTCTGCCTCCAAGTTCAACATCATTTTTGAGAAATCCTGTTAAACAAATCATCTTATTTACACGATTGCAGTTACTGCTTCTCTGAAGTATCTATTTTGTAAACTATGTCTTATGTAAAAGGGCCCAAAAGAGATTGCGTCTTGAAATATAAGTCGAAGTCTCAGTTGCAATTGAGGCTTCTAATAAATGCAGGCTAAAAAAGTTTAGCAGTAAATGTTGAGGAACCTTCTTTCCTCTGAATTCACAAACAGTGCTGCTGAATTCACGCTCAGAACCGCTGGTCTAAAACATCATGCTTTCATTAACATGTTGCTATCCTGCCATTTCTGTATATTAAAAGCATTTTCTATTGCCACAGCCATCATTGTGGAGAACTTTTCCCTGTTCTACTCTACCGAGGAGGACCAGCTGCTGAGTTATAATGACCTGAGACACTTCCAAATCATCTGGAATATGGTGGATGACAAAAGGGAGGTGAGAAATTAGCAATAGGAGAGCTAACAGACAGACTATATATGTTAGTACAGGAGAGTATAGAGAAGGTGAAAGCTGCAGAAGAGATAATGAGATGGGGTTGGAGAGAATGAAGGTACAGCATTCAGTAAGAGGGATTAAAGCAATCGTAGCAGTAGGCAATGAAAAAAAATGGACTTCCCACTATTCAGACAAAATACCACCATGGTAAAGACTTTTAAATCTTTATACTGTACAGACATGTAGCTGTAAGTCAGAACGCCAATATATTTACAGCATCATATACATTTTAACTTAGCGGTTCAAATGAACTTAGCTGTTCAAATTTACATCTCAGTATTAGGAGATCTCTTGAGTCATGTCATTCTCTCTGAATGCCCCAGGGTGTGATCCCGACATCCAGGGTGAAGTTTTTGCTCCGTCTGCTCAGAGGAAGGCTGGAAGTGGATCTGGACAAGGACAAATTACTGTTTAAACACATGTGCTATGAGATGGAACGCCTTCACAGTGGTGGAGACGTGACTTTCCACGATGTTCTAAGGTGACTGTAACACTGCAACACTGATGTTTTTTTTTTTCATGGGTAACTTTAAGTTCAAAACTATATGAACTTCTTTACTATCTGAATTCTCTAATCTTCTGGTTAAATGTATTTGTTTATTGAAAAACTGTGAGTACAATTTATATCCTTCAACAATGTTTGCCTAGAGAGCGATGACTTTTTCTCTTAGTGGAAAAATATTTTTTTTCATACAGACACTTATGTCTGTATGAAATATCAATGCATGACTCAGACAGTGCTGAAAAAGCATGCTTATGCAAATTGATTTGAATAAAAGTGCTTCATATATATATATACGCACACACACACACAGACTTGTATATATTTATATGGGTGTGCATTTGTTTGTGCCACTGTACAGCATGCTGTCCTACCGCTCAGTGGACATTAGAAAGTCTCTCCAGCTGGAGGAGCTGTTGGCCCGGGAACAGCTGGAGTACACCATCGAGGAGGAGGTTGCCAAGCAGACCATTCGCATGTGGCTCAAGAAATGCCTTAAACGCATACGAGCGGTTAGTCTCTCAGCAGACACCACATAATCACGCTTAGACGTCTTTTGAACTGAATTCACACGCGTGTGCTTCATCGCCGTTCTCCACGAGCGTTTCGCTCTGACTCGGCGACGTGCATGTGTTCACAGAAGCAGCAGCAGTCGTGCAGTATCATTCACAGCCTGAGAGAGAGCCAGCAGCAGGAGCTGAGCCTCTTCCTCAAACCTCCCAGCATAGAAACCACAGTGCCAAGCGAAGACCACAATACCAACAACCCAGACAACCCCTTGCAGCCTGAGGTGAATCACCACTGTACACACACCCACATGCTCACAGCTTGACATTTCGCAAGTACATCATATAATCTGCAGGTATATCTTTGCACTGGTGCAACAAAAGGATATCTCTTTGTTTAGATGAGTGGTCTCCAGCAGCTTCTGAGCCCCACGTTGTCAGACAGAGGAGGGTACAGGCAGGACTCCACCGACCTGGGGAGACCACAGAGGAAGCTGGGACAGTGGCGGCTGCCCGCAGGTGTGCACGCCTCTCTGTTATTTGTTTTGCCCGCGGCATGTTTCGTGACACATTTTGAAAGCCAACTGAGATTTTATCAGCCGAAAGAACCACAAAAGAACACCATCATAGCCCATCCCAAAAATTGCAAAAAAGACCCCACCTGATTCTGGATCCAGCATACACACACAGATTGATAGCTACAACAAACAAACATAGATACATTTATACATAGACGGATTGAGGCCTGCAAAAATTACATATTTAATTCAGGAATGGGGGACCACATTCATCCATTGCCGACGTGGAATGCATACATAGACATATTAAAATGCAAATACATGGAACAGGATCATTTTATGTATTTCTAAACAGCTGTAGAAACAACAAATGTATTCATTTAGATTTTGGAGCAGAAATGTTTGTATTTTTTAGGTTTTAGGCAGAAATGTAGGTGAATGAAAAAATCAGCATTTTAACGCTATTGAGCCTGGAAAACATGTAATTATTCACAATGATGTACCTTTCCTTCCTTCCATTCATTTTTTCCCATGAAAGATATTTACGCTTAAACTTGTCTCTCATCCAGGTGCCACATGGACGAGATCTAAGCAATGTATATTGGGTTCTGTGGTTATCGTAACATAGCAACATTTTGCCACATCTTTGTTGCAATTTTTTGTCGGAAACCTTTTGGCCCGAGCACCAAAGGCTGTAGTGCTCAGGCCTTAATCAATTATAGCACGACCTCGTGACTCACATAGAATTTCTCCTGTTTGTGTTGCATTAGGTCGCGCTAGTGTCAAGTCTATTGTTTATAAGATGAACCCGGTCAACGACGAGGCTTCTTCCGGGTCAGAAGTGAAGAAGTGGTGGACGCGTCAGCTGACTGTGGAGAGCGATGAGAGCGGAGATGACCTCATTGACATTTAAGAGATAAGTTGTAACATACCTGCCATTTTCTTACTGACAACCATGGATGATTTCTGGACTACGCAGGCTGTTTAAATGTTCTATTCCTTTAGCTTGACAGTGTTACTGCCACCGGGTCAGAACTGTAGACCATCGATGAATCCTTCAGAGAGCAGGAGTTTGGCAGGTAGTGGCTATTTCATGCCTCTTGGATTAGGTGTTGCTGTTCTCATGTGATTTCCAGTGCTCAGTTATTCTATGCAGGCACATATGGTGTCGAAGCAGATTTTTGCCATAATGTATTCGTAGAAAATAAAACCAAGAAGCTGCTGCTGTTTGTGTTTTAATATCGCTTCATGTTGATAATTGGAACTGTGTTGTTGGAGCACCCATCATTTCTGTCGTTTTTTCGATGTGTACGTTTCCCTCTCGTCTTAGTCAGTGTTTTAATTGTGATCACCTAATTGTTGTTTTTCTTCTTACAGTCACTTTATGCTTAAACCAGGCCTCCTGCTCTTGTTGGTTAGAACACGGGGATGAAAGAAACTTTTACATTTCTGACTGTGAATGTAGGTACATTTTAAATCTGCATTAGTGTGACATGTAAACAGATTTTGTAAAATATCATAAATGATTATCTTTATGAAGTATTTAAATATTCTAATAATAAAGGCCTGCTAGGCATTTATGAGCAAAGGAGTGTTCAGATTGTTTCGTTTTTTTTTTTTTTTTTCCATTACTTACTTTTTTTCAAAATGTAGAGGCAGAACTCAATTGGAAAGCACCATTTTTTTCGGGATTACAGAAAAAGGAGATGAATCAGATAGATGGATGGATTCAATCAAACAAATGAGGATCTCTGTCTCTAAACAGATTTTTCGTAAGTAAGTTATGCTCTTCGCTCCTCACATCTATTCTTTTATGATTTATTTGAGACAGTTATTGAGTTGATCTAATGGGAAATTGAATTAATCTTCTATGTAAACTTACAATTAGACTACAAAGGTTGTGTCTGACGGGACATGTGCTGTCTAATGATCCCTCTCGCACACATCTGCTGAGATCAAAAACCCAGAACAGTCTCAACACACTCTCTAGGTAACACTGCCCTCTTCTGGATGCATGCTGAGCCAATCCACTGCTTTTGGGTATTTATTTCTCACATACTTTGGCATAGCCAGGTTCTTGCACATTTTGTTATGCTGAAGGATGTGGACCTCATACAGTTCTGGTCATTTCTACTCCTTGGGATGAAGAGCAAATTATGTTATAAGTTATTTTCTACTTCTGCCCCTTCTCACTCACCCCCGTGGAGTCATTCTGCTGCCCAGCACTTTCTCCACTTGTTGCAATGACCGCTGACGGCAGTCATGTCTTCTGCTATGTGCTATTTGCTGTGGTTTCCACCGATACAGGTCAGTGGTGAGTCTTCCTTATACCCAGATCCAGTTCACCAGGCATGTGAGTACTTCCATTCTCACAAACAAGAGAAAGAGATGTGTGTGTATGTGTGACTAAGCCACTAAATGAATTCCTTGTGTTCCTAGATGATGTATTTCTTTCTAGTTAATTGATCAGACAATGGCTCCAGGTCAGTTTGCAGCTAATTTACCAACAGCTCACACTCACACTGCAGCATTTTCCTTTAACAAGGCCCCTTGTTAGACACAGAATTAGCCCCATTAAAAGAAACAGGGTCTTCATTTGTCCATTTAAAAACCCTATTAAGTTTCCTAGTTGATGGAGTGTGTACGGGGTTGGACGGATAATGAATATGAGGCGAAGCGAGGAAAGTGCAGAGAATCAGCTGCCTGTGGGATGCCTGCTATATAGAAATCCTGATTTACTCACACATTCCACTCACAGTGACTGAGTGCTCTGCCTGACATATGGTCCTGTAGGGAAACAGTGTGACATCAGTCTTCTTGCCAATCAACTGTCTTTAATTTATCTTTTCTCTCTCTTTGTTCCCATCATCCACCTCTTAAGCCCCACTTAGCTGAGAGCTGGCTCATCAAAGGTCTCTTTCACTTTTTTTTTTTTTCTAATTTTCGCCCTGCATGGTAGAGCACTTTTTTTGTCTTTTAATTGCCTCTGCATCGCACTGGCTCTTATGGGGCCTGTTGTTTTTACCCTCTCTATTGTAATTTGCCCACCTCTCCCTCATGCATGTCCAGTGCTTATTTAGGGACTAATTTAGGCAATTTGGTAATTGAGGAGGTAGTTCTTAAGAGCAGAAGGCATGGAAGAGTTTTCTGCATGTCAAGATTACCTGTAATTAAAGTACATGATGGCTTTGATAGCTCGGCTCCCTCCCGTTGAGATGAAGTATTCAAAGCCTGCCGCCGGCAGTAAAAAGCATTGCGTGAACTGGAAAAATGCACTCTCTGACTTTTGTGCCTCACAAGGCCGTAGCATGCACACAGATGCAGGCACTCCAGGCATGACAGAGCTAAGAGGAATAACAAATAGACAAGCACGTGCGCCGCATAACCACAGTGCACCTGTGATGGCTCTATAAAGCTAATTAAAAATGGCTCTGTAGGTGAAAATGTTGAAAAATGATTGAGGACTCACTCGTCAGCCCCCTCCAGAAAGCCTGAATTTGTACTTCTGAGGCTTCACACAGAGACAACATGACCAATCTGATTATTAACCAGAAATAAGGTGTGATTTCCTTAGAAAGTGTCAATGTTTCCTGGTTCAAACGGCTCTAAGATGTACGTAAGTAGATTCCTCCAAAACCTTTGATTTATCATAGGTTGACCAATTTCAGCACCCTGTCCAAGAGCTGACCAAGAATTATTTGTGCCTGATCTTTCCGGGAAGTTACCTGGATTCTCTTATGCAAATAGGATTTAAAAATACACAACAGAGGAGCATGAAAAATTTGCATGATAAGCACATGGCGTCCCAAAAGCGTATTATGAGCTGCACTCAAAAATGTACAAAGCAGAAATGAACATTGTGATGTTAAGAAAAAGACCGTGTCGATTAACTTAGACAGGGAGACTGTCAGGACCTGAGCAATAGTAATAGGATAGATAGGTGTAAAATGAGTTCTACATGATCATCAGGTGTCTGCTTTTGCAATGTATATACTTCTCATTCATGCTTTTTGGTCTAGGACTACATATGCACATCTGTGCACCTTCAAATTGTTTTTACCGCATACTTTTAATTTAGGGGTTGCTCCTCATTTCAGATTATTTTGGGGCAGGTTTTCCACACATTCCTAGCCTTCGCAAATAAGGTGGCGGCAGTGCAAATTAGCTGCCTGTATTTCATGTCAACATCCACCCCACGTCCAGGCCCAATCCCGTCCCTGTGTTTTGAAACAGATGGCTACTACTACAATAAAAAAGTAGCAAATTATTTTAGCAGCAGGATGCAAAAGCAATTAACAACTGGTATAATGTGTTGATTAAAATCTATTCCAGTCTTAATAAACGAGGAAGGTGGGGTGTTTGTATGTGTGTGGGGGTTCGGGGCAAAGGATGGAGTTGGGAGGCCAGTTGGCCTCCACCCAGGTCAGATACAGTGGCCATGTCCTTGACCTCTCCACAACTGTTTATAACTTAATTTGCAAGAATGGATTTGAATCATTATACTAATTATTGTAACCACACCAAGAAAAAAGACCTAACCCGTGTGTTTTATTACTTAAAATCAATAGTTTGACATCATACTATAAAACTGTCTAACTTGGTAGATTTGACTTTTTAAAATTTCTGGTCTGTGGTTTAAGTTTTTTTTGGTTTTTTACAAATATATAGTTATTATTAGATTGTGTTTTTTCCCCCATTTTAAAAGCAGATTTTGACACTGCTGCTTCTTTAAAGCATGTCGAATCCAGGAAGTAATTTTAAGGCTATTGCTTCATGTCCAGTACCCTATCAGCTGCTGTTAATCACCAATACAATTAACATTGAGTACAGAGTGAGAGTTTTACTTAGTCTTTGAGCCAGAAAGTCTCATTTTCACTTAATGACTAATCAGTCCCATTCATCTGGCTCCAGGTCCCCAGTTACTCCGCTCTACACCTGGTTTTGGCATCTTTAATTACTGGAAGGCAGGCTTTGTCTGATCTGGAGCCAAAATTAGAATATGAGTGGAAAATTCAGAAGAAAATCATACGGGCTCAAACCATGTCAATTACCCACCAATCAAAGTAGAAAGGCCTGTAATTGCAGGGTAACAATGAGAGCCTCCGCTTCAGTCCGACCATTGAGGATACCATAAGAAAGAAATAATGCATACCTGCAGGGGGTGCTATGCCCAAACAATTAAATTTCACTGTGGCGAGCTTAAAGATCACTTGAAAAGCATCTTTAATGTGACTATCATCCTTAGTGAGACATTACCTTATAATTTCACATTTTTACTCTGCTATTATGTCAAAATGTGCACATCATTTTTGAGCATGGGAGCGGAAAATGGATGAGACATTATCAAGAGGCAAAGCCTTTGAGTTGCTATGAGAAAAGTGGCAAACAAAATAGAAAAAAAGCACACAACGTGAGCTTCGTGAAGCTGAGGAGAAAAAGCTGCATCGTGTCTGAAAGATTTCCTATCAAAAATGGCTAAATATCCCAAGATGCTTCCAAAAGAAAATCGTCTCTCTAGAGATCAGATAAGTTTTACGCTTCCTCAGGAGGATGCATGTCTTGTCTTGCATATCCTTTTCCAATATCACGTCAAAGCATTCTGGGAGTTTGCTGTCAGCTTGGGAGGATCTTCAAAGCAAAAACAAAACCTCAACCCCCCCACCAAAAAAACAAACAAACAGCTATATAACATAACCTGCTACTGTAGGTCAAGCTGAAGAAGCCCTCTTCTCTGATTGTGAATCAGAACATTGTGCATTCACACAAAAGAACAAAGTGTATCCTCTTCATCTCAGCATACATATGTACTTTTTTCTTCCACTCAGATCAAAGAGTTCCCAGAACTTGAGCCACTTCCCACATACCCGCGTTTCCCTTGCTTCCGTCTGGTAATTGTGAATGATTTTAACG